TATATATATATATATATATATATATCTCACAATATGAAATTATCATGTATAGAAATGATTATCATATGTGATTTCCAAAAAGAACTAACCAATGAACTAATCTTTTAATCATTTTACAAGTTTCTTTGATTTTTTTAAAAAAATCATTTTCATTTTTCCAATAATCCTCGACAAGACGATTATGATTATTAATTAATTAAGGATGCGAAAGAGAAAAAAAGGATAATAACAAAAGAAATACTGTTCCAGATAATCATAATTGAATTATTTTCCTTTTGATCGATACGATATCAAATGATAAAAAAAATGTATTTCCCGAAAAGAACTTTTGTTTTACCTTAGCAGAGATATTAGGAATCAAAGCACGGAGCGTCTCGAACAAGATTCCAATTTTCTTTGTCCTTTCTCTCTCTGTCCATATGTGTATCTCATGCTCTAAACCTTCTCTATATCCGACTCCATCAGCACTGGATTTTGGTTCAACAATTTTCTTACCGTTCTTTTTTGAGTTGGGGGGACTTCTCCTCTTAGCAACATTAGTACTCGATCCAACCACCTCATTAACAACAGTTAACGGGTGATAAGTATCAAATCTAAGTGGATCTGGCATCATGTCACCCTCAAACATCGCTCCACTCCCAATTTGATTGTCATTCATATTCAGGTATGACCAGACATCATCTATTTCCCATGGAAAAACATGATTACTCTCGCCGCCTCCATTCATGTTCTTTCTTTTTCAGCTGGTTTGATACTTTACCCTAAGTTACACCTATATATAGAATATTTTCTTATAGGGGGCAAAGTGTAAAATGGAGAAATGATGGATTGAATATGATGAATATTGAATATGAAAAGAATATACAAATGGGTGAAAAAAGAAAAAAGATAAAATAACATAGAAAGTATAGATAAAAAAAGGATGATTCATTTGTAATGAATAAAAAAACAAAATATAACCATAAGTCAAAATGTTGTTACTGACTTCAAAACAAAATACGGTAGCTAAAATACATTTTGTTATAGATTTTATCCTCTCTCAATTGGGACTCAATTGATACTTACATCTACTAATAATAATAAATTAAAATTAATTAATAATACTTATTTACAAAGTTAATCACGATATTCTTCTCATCTATTAAAACAGACTATGTGTTTTTCAATAAAAATGATTGCACATAAGTATAATTACTAAATATTTTTTGTAACGGAAGTCTTAATTCTTAAGTTATATTAATTAGGTGAGTCTGAGTTGTAGTACTATGATAAAGAGGTTACATGACTAGCGTTAATTAGATCTTAATAATAGCTTAATCACGTGATTATTAATGTTAATGAAATTTTATTAATAAATGACTTTGACTATATACATTAGATTATACACATCGTTTTACTCATTTATTCAAATTAACCACATATAATTAATAATTAAGCAAGTGTTTTTTCGTAAATAAAACCTCTTATCATGCAATATCATATCCATACAAAAGAAAAAAGATCATCATTTTATTTCATCTTTTGGCCAAGATGTTAAAATGCCTCTAAATTCTAATCACGAATTTTCCTTTATTAGGAGAAAATAATGTATTGGTTAGGATATTAATTTATTTTGTTAATCCTCCAGTACTTTGTAGATAGCAACTTTTTTTTGATAATATATTATAATCAGTTTTTTATTATTATTTATTGGTAAAATTTTTTATTGATAATTTCTTTTAATCGTGACAATAAAGAGTATCAAATGTAGGGAGGTGATTGATTGGCTTGGTTTAGTTTAAAAATTTATCAGTTCGATTTATTGGTGGTTTGTACACATACTAAATCGTTATAGTACTATTAATATATTTGCTGATTGATGATTGATTTATCTGTCTTACTGTTTAGATTTGATTAAAAGAAATCATTAAAAATCACTTAAAACCAAGGTGATAGACCAAAAGAATCATGCATATGCGTTGATATATTGCATCTTGCTCGAAAGAAAATATATTCACATCTTATCTTAGAAAATTTGAGAGTTTGAAATAGTCAATAATACACGTATGAAACTAAAGGTTAAGGCGAGGAATATACATACTAAATGGTACAAATATGATTTTTAATTTATCATGGGGTTATCAATAACTAGTTAATAAAACAAATCAACCTGTTCAAAAGTAATTCATGACAATAAAAAATTCAAATTGTTACCATCGAACAAGAAACCCATTATCGATAATCCAATATTTTTTCTGTTTAATTTTGAACAACCCTAGTCAATAGTTAAATTGAATTTGATCATGTCAAATTGAATTGAGTTTTAAAAGAGCCTTGTTAATTATATTGAACTGGACTAAATTCATAGTACTAGCCGAATCCGTCAAACTCTTATTAATTTTTATTTTTTTATGAGAAACTTTTGTAAATAACCATTATAATAGACTTAACTATGCTCCACATCGATATTTTGCATAATTACGGGTTATACCTACAATTTAAGTTGCTTCATTTGCATAATTCACAGATTTTTATAATTCACAAGTTTGTATAATTCGTGGGTACATTTGTATAATTCATTTATTTGTGTAAAAACTCAAAATAAAAAATTTATACAATTACAAAACCAGAAGTGTATACAGCTATATAAATTCCTCAAATTTTTTCTCACAAGCTTCAGACCATTGAATCTTTTATGTCTTTTGTGTCAACTTTGTCAACAGGGACGAAATAGATGAGAACCCTTGGACAAACATTCTATAATCACTAGCCAATCCCAAGGAAATCCTAATATCTGTTAGAGATATGGTTCTGAGCTAGTTTTGCACTGTTTCAATCTTCTAAGTCTCAACTTGTATCCCTTCTCCAGATAAAAGTTACACTTGGAAAATTTGGCATACAACTCTCTATCTTTAAGGGTTTGTAGAATTACTTTGAGATGATTAGCATGATCTTCCTTATTCCTAAAATAAATCTGAATGACATGAATAAATAACATAACAAACATATCAATATAAAGCTTAAACATACAATTCATAAGGTTCATGAATGCTAAAAGAGAATTACCCAAGATAAAAGACATAAAAAGAAACTCATAATGACCTTAGCGGGTCCTTAATGCTTTTGAATATCACTCTCTCTTACTTATAACTAATGTTAGGTAGATCTAAGGTCAATCTTAGAGAAGCAAGTGACACCTAAAAGTTAATTGAAAAAAAAGCAATACTTGGAAAAGGATACTTACTCTTTATACTAACCTTGTTCAATTGACGATAATCAATACACATCCTAAGAGAACCATCTTTCTTCCTCACAAATAAGACGGGAGCGCCCAAAGGTGAGACAGATTTTTGAATGAAAAATTTATCAAGAAGATATTTCAACTACTCTTTTAACTTTTTCAACTCAGTCGGAGCCATTTCATACAGCATAATAGAGATAGGTCTAGAATTATGAAGAATATTTGTACCAAACTCTATTTCTCTCTCATAGGACTCCTGGAAGATCATCTTGAAAGACCTCTGGAACTCACTCACAACTAGAACTGGCTGAATAGGTGGTGTCTCAATACTAGAGTCATTAACTCGGACTAAGTGATAGATGCACTACTTGGAAGCTTCTGGTCTCAAGGTATGAAATAAAACAACCCTTAGGGGCTGCTGAACTACTCCTCCACTTAATAGTTGGCTCGTTAGGAAACTGTAAGTTAACAACTCAAGTTATACAATTAACTAAGGCATAACAAGTATGAAGCTAGTCAATACCTAAAATATCAAAGTCAACCATGTCTAACTCGACTAAGTCAACCATGGTGTCCTTGTGATTGACAGAAATGGTACAATCATGATAAACTCTCTCAGCTAGAATTGATTCAGCAATATGTGTACAAACACTGAAGGGCTCAAGAAGTTGCTCAGAATGGATATCAAATCCCATAGAAATATATTGAGTCAAAAAAGATGGGGACTGAAACCTATATTAAACAATATATATACATCAAAATGAAAGAGTTTGTTCATACTAGTGATAACATCTGATGAATTCTCTTGCTCTTGGCGACTAGTGATAGCATACAAATAGTTTTCTCCTCCGCCTGTCCCTGAAGTAACTTCTCTAGGTGCAATTTTGTTTACTGGAGTCACTAAAGTAGATTGGACTCTATTTCCCCATTACCATTTCCTTTCATATTCTTAGGTAACTCTCTCATGAAGTTACCTGTCTGACCACACTTTGAACAGCCAATGGAGACATCATAACATGCTCCTTGGTGGTTCCTACAACACTTAGCACATGTAGAAGTCTAATTGGCCATTGTGCCACACTACCGTGAGATTTAGTAGTCCTAGATCTAAAGCTTTTTGAATTATAATTCATGAAATCACCTTTGTTCTTTGGTGCAGGTGCACTAGCAGATGATGGAGAAAGTCAAATTGGCCTTTCTTGAAAAGATGATCGATTCAGATTACCTTTTTTCTGCCCATACTTACTACCTATTTTCTTATCCATCTTGTTGTATAACTCTCTCCTATCTCTCAACTTGTATTCCTTAATATGCTTCCTAAGGATCATTAGTCTTGTTATGTATATGTTCCCTATCAACATAGCAGTCTTCCCCTCTTTGTTTGACGAAAGAGATAACCCAAAAACAAACAAGCTCATCATGCTCCTCAAGTAAGCAATAATCTTCGGAGCATAAGAGGATAATTGAGTAAACTTGAGGTTGTACTCATGCACACTCACGAATTCTTGCGTCAGAGTGAGAAATTCTCTTACCTTGACCTCTCATAGATAATGGGAAAATGAAGGAAACTTCAAACACAACCTAGCTTATAATTGATGCTCCTTCAACTCTACTCTTCTTCCATTGGTCATACCAGACCCTAGAAATTCCCTTTAGTTTGTATGCAACTAACTCTGCTTGCTCAAAATCTCCCACATGTATCACCTTAAACACTATATCAAACTCTTCCACAAAGTATTTGGATCCTCGGTGACACTTGAAATGGTGACGTGTAGAGGATTCATACTTAACAACTCTTGGATTCTGGAAGTATCAACAACATCTTCTCGAACCCTTTCTATTTCCCAGCTTGGTTGCTCATTACTTGACTTAACATCAGTATAGCATCCCGTAAACTCAAAATTGGTGACCTCTCCTTAGGGTTGCACTTCTGGTGCATTGGGAACCCCTTCATCCCAAGGTTTAACATTTCTCCTAGAAGGAAAACCTCAAAAAACTCTTTGTGGCATGATCCGAAAGATATGTGCAAGCATGAATTAGAAAGAGACTTTTATAGAGTTGAACTTTATCGCACGAAAAGAGAATCAAAGAACTGAGATATTTATCAAATTTCATAGCCTCCTAATTATTGATGTTGCACGCTTGACACCGACAACTAAGACTGTACAAACACAACTTCATAGACACCCTAGGACTGTTGAACTTCATGCTCTAATACCAAGTTTATCCCTCCCCGACCCTACACCCTGAGTGTAACTGGAACTCGAGAACCAATGTTGGCCCCAAGAGTACCCTTGGGCTGACTCAACTCTCAGTGGAAGACTTAATCAATAACATATGAACTCAACAATAAAGCTTTAACTCATATATCTCAAGTACATAACATAGAATATTTAAAGTAGCTAGTTAGCCAAAAAGTCAATTTGAGTCTCAAACATTAAGAATGGAAAGACTACTGAAAACACTAATTTTTATAAGCTTCTTATAACTACGATAGATGTCGGAAT